CATATAACAAACCTGGAGTTGTTTTTATTATAATGTTTTTGAGCTCCTTTGTTTTTACAGTACATTCTTGTTTTTTGGCATCTGATTAGTTGGATAAAATGTGAGAACCAATTTACTCACTCAAAATAATATTTAAAGGTGCAAATGTGACTGGAATTGACGGGAATATTGCACAGTATGGCATTAATAATTAATCACCATGATGACAAGCAGGTGATTTCACTGGGCAAAGATGGACTTGCAATTCCCTTTTGTTCTGAACACTCACAGTTACATCATAGCAGCACCTTTGACTCGATTTCAGAGCCATACCTTCAGTGGTGTGTGTGAACTCTGGTTTGTGCACATTCTGCTCTCTGATGTTGTGCGTTGGCTGCTTCTTTGCCCGAGGACATTAAAATGGTCGTGTTTGAACAGTTTTCTGACATCAGCACATCTAAACTTTGGAGACTTCCTCATTGAGTGTGTCATTAGTGCGTCATTAGTGCTACAGAGGCACTCTCTCTACGCTGTGATGCTCTGCTAAACGTTCTATAGACCCAGAGGACTTCTACCACAATCTGTTCTCCTGCAAACATTGGCTATTGGATATTTTTGTGTCTTGGAGGATTCTAAGGGATTTGGACTTGGAAAGAAGTAGTCGTGTTTCTTCTGAAGTGAATTGTTGTTCTCTCTGTTGGCTGAAAGTCACAGGCCAGTGCAGAAGGCTGACTATATCTCGATCAGACCCAGGTGAAAAGATGCTTGATTATAATTTTACTCAAGATGTTCCGCTTCACGTGAGCTTCACATACATCAGTCCTAAGAGACGACAGACGGATATAGATTTATGTTAATGAGAGTAAAAACGAGCGTGCAGACTGTTTGTGATTATAAGAATCTAAAGAAGAGCAGATATATTTAAGACTGTAACAGAGAAACATGTCCATTGTTGATGTTAATGGTGCATGCGTTGTGTGGATCCTTCACCTGCTTGTTCCTATGAATACGTCTTTGCTTGGCTCCACCAGAAAAGTGACATGATGCACCTTTAACAGGGTCATGAAAATCCTGGAAAATCATGGAAGTTGAAAATGTCATTTGCCAGGCCTGGGGAAGTCATAGAATTTTGTAAATTCAATGAAAGTCATGGATTTTTATTTTAGTGTCTCTTTCACCCAACTACAGTGTTAAGTTCTCTTTAGGCTATTCTGATTATTTCTGAACGTTTGCACCTTTTGTTTAAAAGAGAGGACAATAAATAAACTGACAGGATTTTGAATGTTTAAAAACTATAATCCCAAACCATAAGGTGAGTGGAAAGAGTTCACATTTCAGATTTAGTCCTAAAAGTCTGATCAATTTTACACATGTAGGTGCTGTAAAGTCATGGAAAAATCACTGTAGGTCATGAAAAAGTAATGGAAAAAACAGTGGGAACCCTACTTTAAGTAAATAAAAGAATGAAGACATGACATCAGACCCAAGTGAAAAGAAACTTATGTACTTACATACTTATAACTTATAATTTTACTGATGCCATTTCTTAACAGTTATTTATTTGTTATCTTCTTGGAGACCAAATCAGACCAAGTACAGGTGAATTCTGTGGAGAAGCAACCCCAGTTATAGTAGGAATGTTGTTTTTCAAGGTATTTTTGAGCTATAACCTCACCTGTAATGCAATAAATGTCAGGTAGAGCTGTTTAATGTCATACTGCGGAACATTCAAAGTAGAGCAATGACGTATCCATAGAAACAAGCAGGTGATGTCCACGTGTTCTGTTAGGAGCACGTCCACATCTATGGAGAAGTATGGACCACAAATCCTGTATCTAGAGTGTTTGTAAATGAAGACATGACCTGACTCCTGTGATGGGACCTCCATTACTTTCTGCTATAATGTTCTTCTGAAGCGTTCATGCAGTTATGTAGAGACGTCTTCTGTGCTCTTCATGTTAATGCAGCCAGAAGATGAAATAAACAACAGACTTTTATTCCAGCCCTCCACTCTGTCCTCTGCTTTATCCCCTGCTTTATCTGCCAGTCGCGTGTATTTAAAAGAAGAGAGCGGCGTTCATCAGTAAATCAGACGTCTGCGGTGGCCTTCTCAAACGCATTAGTCTCTTCTGTGTGAGCGCGCAGAGCTCAGAGACGTTCTGCTCCAATTATCACCGCTCTGAGAGAGGAGACAGGCTGCCATATTGTCCCTGCACCAGACCACTCCCCAGCCCGTCCTCTGGGTGCACACTGCTGTAGGGACCGCTATGGCTCAACAAGTCCAGAGATATGTACACTATATATGTCCCAGAAAATAGGACATCATTTCACGGGCCTATAATTTTGGCATTTCTTCTTGAAATAACCTCAAATGTTCACAGAATGTATAGAAACAGATCAAGATTTTATATTTAAAGTTTTATGTTTTAAGAGAAATCATTTTACGTCTTGGAATCTGCTCGCACACACTCACCCAACAGCCTTCTATTAAGGTTGTGCAATTAATTGGATTTTGATTGCAATTTCGATTTGTGTGTAAAATGATCTCCAAACTCATATAATCAAGCTTAACAAAGTTTATTTTGGGATACTTTTTAATCTAGAGATTGTAGAACAGCTGGATATATAGTTTATTTTGGAGACATTTATGTTTTTCTGCCTTATTTCATATTTTATACATCGTAAAACTGCTCTAAGGTACATATTTGTAGCCTATATTTGTTTTCAGTTTGAAAGTTTTGCATAAATTATCAATAACAAAGTTTTTTTTTCGTGTCACTAAAAAATAATCGTTTGAATAATCATGATTTCAGTATTGACCAAAATAATTGTGATCTTTTCCATACTCGTGCAGCCCTAACATCAATGCAAAATTTCGAAAAACTTCAACTGGCAAACAAATATTTGACTTGGTGCCAAAAATGTAAAGAGGAAGTTTGATTATTTAAATGCTAAAGGATCTGGTAGACCAACATCAACATCAGAAGAGAAGGTCGAGCAACTTCTCTTTGTGAGTGAACGGCATGACTCAACCTGAAAACAAAACAAAAATAAAACATTAAATATAAAATCTTAATCCGTTTCTACACGTTCTGTGAAACTTTTAGGTTATTTCAACCAGAATTGCGAAAATTATTGGCGTGCGAAATGTCAAGTTTTTTGGGACTCCCTGTATTATTTATTGATTTAGTGTTGTGCCATTATGCAAAATCTATATATATATTTTTAGTTTTCAATCATGGTATAACATTGCTCCCTCATCAAAAACATGTCTGAAGAACTTTTAGCCGTCATTAATGCATGTTTGAGTAATTTAGCGCTCTCTCCGGGACCCTGTTCGAGTGTCAGAAACAAAAAAGAAACTTAAATGTGTTTTGTATTTTCAAAACAATAAAATGTGTTATGTGTTAGCAGTTAATATTACATAGAAGTAAAAAAAAAAAAGCACTCTCTTTTTCTCCTCCTCCTCCTTCTCTCCCTTCACTTCCCCCTCCTCTTCTTTTTCTGTCCATCTTCTCTCCACATCACTTCTAACCTCTTTGCTTTTTCTCCTGATATACTTCCTCCTCTCTTCCTCCTTTACTCCACCTCTCCATCCTCTTCCTCTTCCCTCCCTCTTCTTGCACTCTTCCTCCTCTCCTCCCTCCCATCTTCCTCTTGCCTTGTTCCTCTTCCTCCTTGCTCCTCCTCCTCCTCCTCTCTCTTGTTTTCCTTCTCTCCTCTGACTCTCTCCCCGTCATTTCCTCTTATTATACTCGTCTAGTCCCCTTTCTCCCTCCGCTCTTCCTCCCTTTCCTCAGGAGATGTACCATTTCCATACGAGACTGGGGCATATTTTAAACCGGCTCTTTGGTTCACACACTCCTTCTCTCCGTCCGATGTATTATTAAAACCAGCTCCACTGGCTTTAATTATTTCCCGGCCCCTCTCTATCCGCAGTCCTGATAATTGGTGTTATTTATCTAAACAATAGCGGTGTGTGAGTGTGAGGGAGCGCTTGAATTATGAATGAGGACAAATGCAGAGCGATTAGCCGGGCGGTGACTTGGGCAGGAGCCACCACGCTGCAGAGCGCCCCACCCCCCCCTCCAGGAGCACAACTGTTGACTGTTGTGAGACTGAGCCAGGAGGCGCGGGGTTAAAGCTGTCAGCTCCTCGCCTTCTACAGGGAGGTGTGGGCCGCTAATGAAAAGCCCCGAGGTTTGTGGGTTAACGCCAAGGAAGTGTTTGAGAACTGCAACTCGTCTCCACGACGATGCCCGGAAAGTTCCACAATATGGCATTCAACTTTTAGCATTTGTTTTCATAATAGGTGCTTTTACGCCTCAAATATGACATTCTTGTAGTGAGTAGGGCTCCACAGATCTGACTTGTTACTTACTTGTTGTAGGCAAAGCATTAACACCTCCATGGAGAGTAGTTGTAGTAAAAGGCCATGAGTTGCTCATTGTGCCCATGGGCAATGCATTTCTGTAAGTGAGCGTGTTAGAATGACTCTAGCTTCTTTTGATAAATCCTGAGAGATGAACAGATTGAGCTGTTTGGGAGAACTAATCCTTCAACTCTGTCTCCTTATGGGATCAGTACATTGGACAGTGTCTGTAAAAAGCTGCCAAATGTGTTTGATTGTAGAAATACATTGTCTTCATATCATCCTTGTATCATCTATCATATTCTGTAGGGTTTACATTCATTCAGTCATTTCTTCATGTTGGCTGCATTAAAATGAAGTAAAGGATTATAGTTAATGTAGTTCTCTTTTTAGTTTGATGTTGCAACAAAACTGCATTTAAGCAGCAGAGCTCATGCTGCACTGATGTTGAGTGATGTTCAGCCTTTTGATAATGTTGTTTTCCAAACAGACTAATGATGAGGATTTTACACTTGAGTTTGTATCAAAAACACAGCCGCTTATGAGAAGTAAATGTTTTTTTTGCCAACAAGAAACTGTCTTTGTGCATTTGTCATGCTGAAGTGTTAATATTAAAACCTGATGTATTCTGTTTTGTCTCTTCCTCCAGGTTCCCCTGCCCAGCCCTTCACCCCCTTCTGGTTCACGGTGGAGCCCCAGGACGTGGTAGCCACTCGGGGCAGCCCTGCTCTGCTCAACTGCTCGGCCCACAGCGGCTCCGCCTCCGCCCCCGTCAGGATAGAGTGGAAGAAGGACGGCACCTTCCTGAGCCCCGCGGCCGACGACAGGCGACAGGTGCTCCCTGACGGCTCCCTGCTCTTCACCCATGTGGTCCACTCCAAGCACAACAAGCCAGACGAGGGCACGTACCAGTGCGTGGCCACCATGGACAGCCTGGGCTCCATCTCCAGCCGGACAGCGCGCCTCTCTGTAGCAGGTCAGTCACACCTCGGACACTCTGTGGGAGTTTATTCGACTGTTTGGTTTTCACTCCTCTGCTCTTTGCTCGTGTTTTATCGTCGGGTTAAGTGGGATTCCTGCTGGCATTCAAATGTTGTTCCTCTGTATTATTTTTTTACGCTTTAACGTTTCAGTTGCGTATATGCCGTTTTGAAGAGATGGTTTCATGGTAAATTTGAGATTTTCTGTTTGATGCCACTGTATGCTCAAACACAGATGCTGTCAACTTCTCATTGACGCTCTGAATGAGTGACAGGCGGTTGTACCCAATCACAGTGAACTCTCAGAAGGAGCAGATGACTTTAGTTTATGTGTTTCTTTAAAGAACATGTACTTTTGTTACATTGTAAACTGTATTATCATATTCATCTAAGACAGTCCTTCAGAAATAGTGGGGGGCACGTGTGACCTCGGGGAACTTGCTTTTTTTTGCCGTACTAGAATAAAGTGTAATTTCACTTCCACTACAGTAGTTGGCAGTATATTGTCTGATATTTTGCACCGAACATAGACACACAGCACAGAGCAGGAGATATGAAGTGCAATGAGCAAACACCATTGAAAAATATTGAACAGGGATGAAAAGAAAGGCAGAGAAAGACAGAGATAATGAAACAAACTGCACTTTCCAGAAAGCTAAGACTAGGAAACATGACGAAGCAGATGTAGCGCTCGGCTTCACAGTGACTACGGTGGGAAACGAGGGAAGACCGCTGTGTTTACTGTGTCTAAAAATGATGGCAGCGAACAGCATGAAGCCAAATAAATTAAGGCTTCATTTAGACTTTACACCCCAATCACACACAAGACATTTGAGTTGTTTCAGCAAAAACGTGCCGAATCGCCAACAATCATCCCGCTTCGTGAATACAAATGATACTATTTGTCATCACGGCAGTGAGTGGAGGGAAGCGAAATGTTTTCTTCTTCCTGGGGGGGCGTGACAGAAAATAATTGAGAAGCACTGATCTAAGACGAGAGTGGCGGGAGAGGAGGTGCGAGGTCAGGACAGTTGAGGTATCTACACTTCAAACTCCACCCCTGCAGGCTCTAGTCAGTGCAGTCTTTTGTGATGTCACATTGTATTTGAAATCACAGGTAGTACTTTAGTTTTTTGACCAGAATGGTTTACACTAAAGTGACCAAAAGCACGAGGAACAGTGCTTTCTAATAGGATTAAACAACACACACACAGTTTAGCACCAAAAAGGCTGATTTAGTGTTTAGTTCCACTTTAATTTGACTAAACCAGCGAGTCCCAGAGCTCCTCAACCCTATCATTCAATTATCTTTTATTGTGTATTGGCAAATTCTCACGTTGTTCCTTTCCCCCTGTGATCAATATTCCTGTGCCCTTGTGCCTCGCCGTGCATCGAAAGCCCCCACCCCTGTGTGTTCGTGCCCTCTGGATAAATGCTTTTCCTTGTCGAGCGCGTGGCCCTGGTGAGTGCGGAGCAGTAAGTGACGCGGGATTATGAGGTGTGGGAGCGAGGGCTGTGCGAGGGCTCTCAAATTGAATCAGAGTCGAGCGGAGGTGCCCCAGAATGCACTTAGCCGCGCTCTTCTCCGAGGTGCATGGGCTTAAAGAGGCTCCGGAGAGGGCCCGTGCAGACAATGGGACGGGGCTGTGCAGACCTGGGCTCCTGGGGGCCGCTCGGGACGTATTAGACGAGTCTGTGGAGCCTGCGCGCTACGCTGGGAGACCTGAATTGCAGGTTTTAGACATGATTGTGTGTTTTGTAAATATGCGGTTGTTATGCTTGTGTGGAGCTAATTTATTGTCTTAAAGTGGGTCAGACCACCTTGTTAGAGTTGGTTTCAAGTTATGCAGTTGTTCCAAAGATGCATTTTTCATAAGATACTGTGTTTGTTAAAGACACAAAATCAACCTTTGAGGACTTTCTAACATGTTGTAACATTGTTCCCTCATCAAAAACATGCCCAAAGAGGTTTTGGACATCATCCATGCATGTTTGAGTAATCTGGTGATCTTTCCCAGGCTCTATTCGAACTAGGGATGCACTGATACTGACCTGATACTTACTTAATATACCGTATTTTCCGGGCTATTAGACGCGCTCTTAAGCCACCAACCCCATCAAAAAAAATGACTGCGTGCCCCACAATCCAGAGCGCCCTATACACGAATCCACTTGGGTGTCCCAGTACGACTTCTGTAAACTACAAAGCTGCAGGACACGCAAACACACGGAGCAGACAGCGACCGCACAGCGACAACCACCCACAGACACACTCATCACTCCACACCGACGAGGAACGGAACGGAGGAACGAACCGAAAAAGCGAGTGCAATGTGCCACTTCTAGACACAACTGAACAACTGAGTCACTGCGAACACGGCGACAATCCGTTGGTCCCAGACAGCACCCTCCCTACACGCCACAACTGAACAGAGTCACCGTGTCAACGCCACAAACAAAACAAACCACTGACCCATCACCCTGTTGTTTTGTTTAAAGCGTTTTATTTGTGAAAAAAGTTCGAAAATAGATCATTCAATGACAGTTCCCTTATAATCCAGAGCGCCTAATAGTGTGGAAAATACGGTACTTGTTCTCATTAAATATTTGTCGATACCACGCACTGATGCCACTGTTACACGACACTACTGGTCACGTTCAGGAGGCCATTTGTTGTTTTACTGACTTCAATGTCCAGGGGGAGACAAAAAGTGAGAAGTCACGGCTTATCCCATGCACAAATAATGCTCAATCATGTTGTCGGCAGCAGTTTGGAAATATTTTAGAGTTAGGGAGGACGTAAGGGGGAGTAAGGCGGACTGCAAATGATGTAGTGCCAAGGTGTCGAGAGGTGGAAGGGAATACGAGCACTTTAATCAAACATCTGAAGACACAGCGCAGTGATAAGGACGCCGAGTTCACCAAAGCAGCACTAGCCGTCAACAGCCAACTTTAACCACCAAAGTTTTCAAGAAGCAAGAGAAAATATCCAGAGGTAGCAGTAAAAATAAGCGAGGCATTTACCTACTTCATTGTGGTGGATGACCAGACAGTTTTGGGTTTCAGTGTCTTATAGGTGTTCTAGAGCCCAGATATCAGCTGCCTAGTCATCGCTACGTCGCAGATGTGATGTTGTGAAAACTTGGGTTAGGTCAATGGTTCATGACATCGAGTCAATAAACTTCATGACTGATATTTGGAGGAGCAGCGTCTGACCAATGTCCCTTTTAAGTTTGACAGACCAGAGAGTTAAAATATCATCTGGATTTCCATTTATTGTCGTTGTATGTTCATGGGGGTGGTGGTTAAAGTATCGGTATCAGTACTCAGTATCGGCAGTACAGAATAGATTATACTCGTACTAATGGTATCGGTGCATCCCTAATCCGACCCCTTCTTAGTTAGCAGTACGGTCCTGCAGTAGTTTCATTACTGGGATGCAGGGGTGTAGTTTCATACTTTGCACACTGGCTACAAATCATCTTGGTGGGCCCTCATTACATGTTGTGTAATGAATAATGCGCATTACAGACTTTGTGAGGGCCCCTTCCTGCATTGGGCCCCTGGGTAAACCGTAGCCTTTACTGCAGGAGTGATTTAGTGTGGAGAGCAGAGACCAGACATGAAACTTAAACGTATTAAACCCATTAATACGTTCTCAGTGAACATTTTCAAAGCTATAAAATGTAACATGGTGATCTAAATACGTTATGTTTTAGTTGTTAATACCCCATAGAAGTGTAATCCCACCACTTTAAAGATAAAAAAATACTCTTAATACTCAAAATACCCTTACTTTAAAGATAAAAATCCTTAAAGGGAAAGTTGTTTGCTTTTGGCCCGTACTTTAATGGTGCTCTGGTGGAGGCTCCATTAAGTGTTTTTCTCCATGGAGATGCTATTACTTTGTCTGAAATGTTTCACAGTGTGGCATTAAACCTTTCTAGCTTCATGGATTCCAAACCAGACCAAGTTACAGGTCAGATCTGTGGAGAGGCGACCCCGCTCACAGTCAGAATGTTGTTTTTCTAGGTATTTTTGAGCGATAAAACCACCTGTAATTGAATAAACTTAAGACAGAGCTGTTTAATGTCATAATGTGGAACCTTCAAGGCAGATCAGTGACGTCTTCATAGAAAGAAGCAGGTAAAGGACCCTCCACCAGAAGACCAGTGAAGAAAACCGCTCAGAAAAACAGTGCCTTGGAAACCCTCTCGATACTGAACAAGGATCTCAACTGACAGGAGAACCTACAAAACCCCACTGAAAGGCCGTCATCATATGAGGCTGTAGCTTTGACCACTTTTGAGCACAATTTAAGTATTTCAGAGGATTGTATTTAGATTACAGAACCAGTAAAGCTACGGACCCAGACGTCAGCTTGATGGAAATAGGTTCTGTCTGAAAGATGAAGCATGGTGAAAGCAAAAAAAAAAAAAAAAACACTTTGAAGGATCACACATCGCAAAGACTGCTGTAGGTTTAACTTCTCCTTTAGCTCTTTACACATTTTCAGATAGAATTTAGTTTCAGAAAGTGTGTTTAGAATTGAAATGCGAATGTGACAGCTGCATTGATAAATGGTTCAGGCGAGGGCTGCACCTTTGGGAAAAATATTGAATTGTGATAGTTTTTGTTTTTTTATTTTACAAAATTGCGTTTGTGATGTTGATTGATTTGCGATTTGTTTTAATAATGGGATTCAGTTCATAGTTCTTATTTTCTTATTTTAAACACGTCCAGAGGAATTGACAAAATCACTGAAATCAGAACTGACAAACTAATACAAGAGTCACATTTCTGAAACTAAACTACAGGGTTACAACGGGAGGGCATCTGACACATGAGGAGGGCATCTGACACACAGGGACATTTCAGTACAAGTTTATACAGATCTAAACTACAGGGTATGCAGCTTTTATGAAGAGTAACAGAATAATAATTTCGTTTGTGGAGGGAAAAAAAATGTGCGGTTTACGATTTTGCAAATTGCGAT